CCCCACCTGCTTCCAGTTTTCAGCCCTGATAGGGAAGAGAGCCGGATGTTCGTCCGGTGGCTAAAGGTAACTGGGGAGAGTGAAGAGGTGGACCCCGAAAAAGCTAGCCCGAGCATTCCCCCAGCCCAGCAACAACGCGGGAGCCCCCCGACTGACCTTCCGCCGCGGGCTGCGTCGTCGTCCGCCCCGTCCGGCCTCAATCGTCTCCTCAGCGCCGCTGCCTCTTCCCCGCGCTACCTCTTCCACCCGCGTCGCCATGAGGTGACGGCAGCAGCGAAACAAGCGGCTTGACCAGGGGCACGGAACCTCGTCGGGCCTCGCGACCCGCCCCTGAGCCCCCACGGCCAATCGCCGTATGCCAGGACTGCCACGTGACCGGAGGAGGTTGGGCCCAGGGATGGGGGTGGGGAGCATTGAAGCCGGGGCTGGGCTTCTGCAGGGCCAAAGGGCGAACACCAGCCGTGCGAGTCTGCGCGGAGAAAGGGACTCTAAAGCGGACTACAAGACCCAGCAGGCTATGCGGCCAAGCTCGCAGGACGGGATCGGGATTGGATCGTAATGCGGCGTCGTGCCGCGCATGCAGCCTACTGGGAATTGTAGTTTTCTTGGGGCGATGTACAGGAATCAGGAAGTTCATTTTATTATCCCTTTGGAAAAGTTTATAAATATTCAATGGTTTGGGAGGGAGTGGGTTCGGGGACGCGTTGTTGTGTTTTTGTATTTGTTGCTCTTCTTCGGAATTAAGCCCGACTGATTTTAGGATAAGGGGAAATGCTTCGTGCCTTTCACGGCGGGAGAGATTTAAGGGCTTTCAGAAGTTGAAGTTTCTGCCTGGTACACCTGCCCGAGTCCGGCTGCTCCACCAGAGCGCTCAGCGCCGAGCCCTGAGCTTCTGCGGGGGGGCGGTTGCGTCTTATTCACCTTGGCTGAACAGTCCCGCCTTCTAGCATCGTTCTCCTCACTTAGTTGGCACTTAATACGTGTTGAATGTATCCTTTCTTCTTTACTGAATTTTTTAAACAAACTCAGTTTGCTAAATCAATTTTTTTCTTAACACGATTGGGTGGGGGTGGAGTTTTCCTCAGGAATACTCCCTATTTCCATCCGATGGAAACAGATCTCCAAAGAACCAGCTTCTGAAAGTCACGGACCGCCATAAAATCCTGACATATAGTCTCAAACAATTCATGATAAAAATTTGTGTAAATCCTATACCCCTTTTTATTAGAGTTGAATACAAAACAGTGGTAGCAGATGCCAAAAATTTAATAACATACATGAGAATAAATTTCAATATTGGATAAACTCCAGCTATTAATTTTAATTATTTCCTTAAATTTGAGAAAAGTGCCTTTATTTTATTTTATGGGCAGAACACCTCAATCCAGCTTTGAGATTTCAAAACTAAATCAGTAGATAATAAACCCAGACTCTATGTAAAGCTGATGGCCTCAGGCACCATGTTTCATCTTAAAGGCAAAAATCCCAGCAAGATGGGGAATAAATCTATCAGTAATGCTGCTCCTAACGTGTCCAGGGAATTAAGTGTCAAAATGCACTGTAGTTAAATTGTGGTACAACAGAACACCGTGCAGCTACTAAAAATGATAAACACATTTTAAATTGGGCTAGAAAATATGCATAGTATAGGGAGCTTTAAAAAATTCCAGTTAGCCCAGCCAGCGTGACTCAGTGGTTGAGCATCAACCTAGGATCCAGGAGATCAAGGTTCGATTCCCAGTCAGGGCACAGGCCTGGGTTGTGGGCTCCATCCCCATTTGGGGGCGTGCAGGAGGCAGCCGATCAATGACTATCTCATCATTGATGTTTCTCTCTCTCTCCCTCTCCCTTCCTCTCTCTGAAATTAATAAAAATATATTTTTTAAAATAAATAAATAAAGACATATATATTTTTTAAATTCCATTTAAATAGAATCACCTGTATGTTTATAAAGAGGTGTTTAGAAAAATATTGACCAAAATGTTAATAGTGTTTTTCCCTGGATGATAGATTTGGGAATATTTTTACTTAATGATTTCTGTATTGTTTTAGTGTAAGTACGTATGGAACAAAAAAAATCAATAGTTATCTTTATTAAGAAAACAAAAGAACTCTGCAAGTCACCTTAGGTCTTAAGATAAATGAAAAATATTTAATTGTATTTATTTATACATGTTTCTGTTTCAAAAGGGGTTTGGGTGGCTTGTAAACATGTACACAATATGCCATGACCTATGTGTGTGGTGTGTAGATATATAGATATAGAGAGAACGTGTCATGCATTCAGAGAGAGAGAGAGAGGAGAAAGTGGAAGTGAAAGAAGAATGGGAAAAATAAAATGAAGTCATGAGTGAGGTGAATATATAAAATATATGCCTTAAGGTCTTCTACACAAGCTGGAAGTGAACCAAATTTTTATTTTGAGCTTCTTGACAACTGAGAAAAGAGGAAAACACAATTTTCAAAACGATTCACAACATCACAAAATAAAAACAAGCTGGTTGCTCAAGAGAAACATTGCTGTTACTGCTCATGCAAGAAATATGAATTTTAGAGATCCGTTTCTTATAACATCTTCAATGATGGTGCTTTTTAAATCTGCCCACAAGTTCTTTGATGCTCCTCCCTTCAAAAGGTGGAGTCTGATTCCTCTCTTCTTGAATGTGGGTAGGCCAGGCTTAGTGATTAGCTTCTAAGGAATACAGCATAGCAGAAGTGCTGTGTAGCTTCCAATGCTGGTGAGAGAAAGAATAGTTTCTCTAGGTCTTGGGTCACTATCTTCTTCCTTGCGTCAGACTAACCTGATTTTTGATAAACCCATTCTTTGTTTAGATTTTTATCTAAAAAAAATTCCCCAAAGACATTTACTGTCAAGGCTTTGCCCAAGACCCTATAAAGCACTTCGCTTATCTCTGCTGGAATTCGTTGTCAGGGTAATATTTTGTGTTCAAGGGCTATAAGGTCTTTTAAGGGCACATGTTCTGTTTGCATTAATTATTCTCACCTTTGCTCAAGGAATTATCGTCTCTGTTAACAACTGTGCCTGAAAGGAAGGTGAAGGTCACAAGGAAAACAGCTCCACATTGGGTAGAGGCTATTCTCCCCAGGCTCCCTGAGGGCTGTGAATAGAACATGAATACGGGCTCATTTATTCAGATGTTTATTGAACAGCCACGAGCCTGAGGCACAAAACAGTTCTGAACAGTAAACTCAATA